CGTGGCGGGGCCACAACCACCAGCCTGGCAGAAAAGGGGCTGGGCGGGTGCGAGCAAGAGTCCGCCGGAAGGAGGAGGGGGAGGATGAGGAGGGAAGCGTATTGGCAAAGCACAGCGTGCAGCGGGGAGGCGGGGGGAGAGGAGGAATGCAACAGGTGCCGAACCCGTGGTGCCTTCAGCCACAGCTGGAAGGCCACCCCGTCTCTACCGCCTCCAAACTGAGGTTGGGGAGGAGGAGGAGGAGGAGGAGGAGGAGGAGGAGGAGGAGGACGAGCCGCGGACGGCTGGAAGGCGTCGGGCCTTGGTGGCTCGAAGAGACGGAGAGAGAGAGAGAGAGAGACCCTGACCGTCAGCAATTCCTGCTCCCGAGACTCTGAGCCTTGCACTTTTAGAAGATCCCGCGTGGCCGGGGAATTTACCCTGGGCAGTGCAGGCAGGGCTCTCTCCGAGCCTGTGGGCAGGGTCGAGAGCTCGCCGCTCGACGGACACGTGGCGAAGGAACGACCAGACCACGTCGTGAAGCCACTGGGCCCCGTGGTCGACAGACAGAGCGCGCATCACCTGCATCAGGTGCTCTCGGGCGACAGAGGACGCAATGCCAACTGTCGCCATCACGTCGGGGCCGACGGTCGCTTGAGGCCACGGCCCGTTCTGAAGCTGGCGCTGTGCTTTGCTGTGCGCACTGGAGGCGTTCGTCGACGCCGAACAGTCCGAGCAACCACAGCACGGCTAGCCTTGGTTGCCTCCTTGGGTATCCACCTTGCTAGCGGGTCCGAAAGCCCCGAACCTGGTCAAGGGCTGCGAGACGTCCCAACATTCGCCCCAAATGGCGCCCCCCACAACTTCAAAACACGACTTGGGCACCGTTTCCCCCTGGACCAAAACACCCTTCCTCGTAACCCAAATTCGGCTGAGGAGGTCAACAATGGCTGGACATCTGGCTTCAGTGAGCGTCCAACCCTTCTACTGTTTGGCCAACTGGGGAACAACCCACGTAAGGCACGCGAGCGCTGCCGCCTTAAATCTTTGGTGGGGGGCTGGTAGGGGCAGCTTCGACTGAGATCATCAAAACCTGTCCATGCATTGCCCACGTACCTGACGCACGTCATCACCCATCCCACTCCCACCCCCACCCTCGCACCCACCCCGCCCCAGACCCTCATCCTGAGATTGTGGCCCTGCAGCCACGTGGTAGCCTGTGCCTCCGGCAGCTGGTGCTGGGAGGCCACAGGCTGGGCGGTGTCAAGAACCATCGGTGCGCGAAAGCGGAGCAACGACCGACGCGCGGCTGACTTGGTCCAAGCTTCTTCCTGGATTCAGTGCCTCCTGGCCACATGAGCTCGAGCTGCCTAATTTAGGCGGAGGGGGCTAACAATGTCCTGGTCCTGAGCTCTCTCGAGGAAACCAGTCGACTCCGACCAAATCTTGTGTGGCGCATCCAGAAGCCCTGCACGGCGGCACATCCACGTACGTCTATTTAGATCGCTTGCAACTCTTCAAACTGGGCCATGGCAACGTTAACATGCGGGAGCAGCGTCGTGAATTTCTCTGCAATTCTGTCAGCATGCCTTTTGCCTTCCCGCTCAGGATGTGACGAGCGGCCCTCTACGATACCAGTGCTAATGTCTCATGGGCCACTGCGCCGTCCTCAAAAACGCACCAAGCTCTGGACCACAAGAGGGTATTCGGGTTCGATGCGCACACTGACGAAGCTCCGTCGGAAACACACCCGCTGCGCGTCCCCTCACAACCGGTCCAAGCCTCAAGATCTCCTCCACCTCAGCCCGCCAGCACATAACATGCGCAATCCTCTCCGCCTCTGGCCAGTCGGAGGGGTGCAACCTCTATGGGCACAGCGCCAAACGCGGCCGCGAAGAGGCCCCCAGTCCCATGGACCGCGCACAGAAGGGGCCGGCCAGCTCGTCTGCAGCGGGCCGCGGTGGGGTTGCGAGCTGGCCCATGGCTCTAAAGCTCCGACCCCAAAGCTTGCCGCCCTGAGGCTCATTGAACCGATGTGTGTGTGTGTGTGTGTGTGTGTGAAGGGGCCCCGGGACACACAAACAAAACCACACGAATAAAAGGATTCCCCGTTCCCGTATTTTCTGGGCTTCTGTCTTCCCCCCCACTTCCCATGTTTTCCATATTTTTTCTGGGGGATCGACGATTCATGGTGTCTGTGTGTTTTTTCCCCTCCTGAGTGTGTGTGTGTGTGACATTCGCTTCCCCGCCCCCCCCCCTCCTTCAGCCGCCCGCCCTCCCCGTGCTCCCTCTCTCTCTTGCACCGTCGCGCAGTTCGCTGCAGCGGTGCCCCCGGCTTAGAGTCGGCTCCTTCCGCCGGCGCAGAGGGGACCCCTGCCTAGCCGCCGACGCAAGACATGTGGCATTCGCCTGAGAGGCAGGGCGGAAGGCGCCAGCTCTCTGGGTTCAGGGAAGAGCACTCCGGCCGCAAACTTCTCAGGATCCCGATGCCACAGTGCTGCCCACTCGGCAGCTCGACGCGCCTTTGCCGACAGGCGTTCACGCCCGTCGGCGTCGAAGAGGGGGCACTCGAACCTCCTGCGAGAGGAAGGCGCCTGGGGCACCTAAGCATCACTGGCACTCCGAAAGATCAGTCAACCTGCTCACACAACCTCACCTGGGTCCAGGATCCCATGGAACAGAACATCCTAACACAACTCTGGTGATGATCGTGCCACACTTCGTTGCGCCTTGAACTCTGGGGCTGGCGCCCGGCTGGCAGGCTCGAGAGAGCTTCCTACGTCGGCTGCCGATAAATGGATAAGAGCTCCTTCTCCTCCTCCTAGTCCTCCTCCTCCTCCTCCTCCTCCTCCTCCTCCTCCAGCCTCCACCTATTCGATGGCCGTCTTGACCCTTCTGCTTGCCCTCTACCTCGAACTCATCCTTCTCCTCTTATTCCTCATCTTTTTCTTCGTGGCCCGCTTCCCTTCATCCTCATCCTCCTCCCCTCTCCACCTTCTCCTCCGCCTGCTCTGCTCCTTCTCACTCCCCCCTCGTCACCCCGATGCTCCCTCCCCAGAGGCCTGGCGGACCCATGACCTCTTTGATGTTCTGCATCGCCTTCATTAACCCCTCGTACCTGGAGGTGGATAGAGTGGGAACAGAGGCAAAAGAAGGGGGGAGGATGATGAGACCTGTGGAGATGGATGAAGATGAATGGGGAAAACAAAGGGGAAGGGCCAGGGGTGCTGCGGGAAGTGTAGCGAGTTGCCTTCGCTGCCGACTCAGCGCACGAAGTCTTCTCATCCACCTCCTCCTCCTCCTCCTCCTCCTCCTCCTCCTCCTCCTCCTCCCTCTCCTGCTCCTCCGCCTCCTCCTCCTCCTCCTCCTCCTCCTCCTCCACCTCTTCCGTGGCCACTTCTGCGCAAGCTGCAGTCTGGGCTCAACCCGTTCTGGCCAGCCCTGGGCGGCTGGCCACGGCACAAGGCCTGCCCCCAACCAGGGCTGGACGCGACTCCGGCCCCCGTCGTTGCGAGATGCTCGCGGGCTCGTGGGGCTTCAAGCTGCTTGGGACCGTGCGTCCTGTGGGGGAGACTCCGCCTGCTCGAAACAAATGCCCCCAAACACCAGCCCAGATCTACTCCGGCAGGGGGGGCGGGGCGAGGGCCCGCGCCGATCGGCAGAACAGTGGATAGAACAACGCTCACTTCACGATGCGGGACTTCAACTTCGCGTCCCGCATTTCGCCGAGCAGCGCAAGAGCCCGCTGCCACTGCCACTGCCTTCTTTCCCGCACGGGCTGATCCCAAGCGGAGCTGACTAGAAAACTGACCCGTGGCCAGCATCCACGAAACCTGCACGAACTGGCATGTGATTGCGGACATGCTGCCGAAGGCTGCGATCACAACGTCGGGCTCAACCCTCGCACTCCGCGCAGGCTTAGACTTTTGCGTGCTGCTGCTTGCTGCTGCTGCCGCGTGCTGTTGATAATGCTTGCCGCTGCTGCGTGCTGTTGCTGCTCGTGGCTGCACAGTGCTGCGGATGGCCAGATCTGCTCGGTGCGTGCTGCTGCCCGCTGCCTGCTGCCTGCTGCTGCCTGGTGCCGCTGCCTGCCTCGTGCCGCTGCCGCTCGCGGCTGCTGCAGCGTGCTGCTTCTCGCTGCCATCAGCGCGCTGGCGCAGCCTGCTGCCAGGAAGAGGAGCCAGGCTGTCAACGTCCAAGACTGCCCGTGGGGGTAGGCCACTTACCGCCCCCTGACGGCCCCCGAGGCTCCCAAGAGCCACCCCGAGGGCCTCCCAATCTCGAGTAGGGGATCGTCTACATGATCGTTTTACCCCAGAATTGATGTGTTCGTCGAGTCAATGAAAAATCGTAGAATTTTCGTAGATCTAGGAACATTCTACGTACGACTTGACGAGCAACTATTTTTTCGAGTAGATGAATTCTGTAGACGATCCCCATGCAAGAAGACCCACGAGCGCGCGCGACCGCTAGACCGCTGCGAGCCTCCCCTCCAAGAGGGGCCCAAGGACTCCCCAGAGGTCTCCCAGAGACCCTCCAGAGGCATCCAAAATCCTTTCACGAGGCTCCTAAGAGGCCCCAGCCAACCACCCAAGAGGCTGCCTCAAAGACCAAGCATCCCTAATACCTTTAGTCCGACGTGTGCGCGGTGCTAGGATGGACCTAATTCCCTAATGTCGTTGAAAGGTCCAGCGAGCGCGCTATCAAGGGGCAATTAGGTGAGCCTGATAACGGCCGCTCCTCCTACTCCTGCTCCTCATCTTGCTCCTTCCCTCTCCTCTCGTCCTCTCCTCCTCCTTTTTCTCGTTCCTCTCCTCCTCCCCCTCCTCACCCTTCTCCTTCTTGCTTTCCTCCTCCTCCTCCTCATCATCATTCTCCCTCTGCTCCTCGTCCTCCTCCCCCCCTCCCCCATCCCCTGCCCCCTCAGTAGGAACCAAACGGGGGGAGGGGGAAGGGGAGGGAGACAACCCTATCGTGGTCGAGCGCGGCCGCGCTGAGGCGATTAGTCTGGTCCAAGGGGGAAGCGGGCGTCGGGAAGAGGAGGCGGTCTGGTGGGCCTGGACTGCTGTTGCTGCTGCTGCTGCTGCTCCTCCTCCTCTTCCCTTTCGGGCCTTCGGGGGCCCTTCTCTCTGCCACTGCTTGAAAAGCGTGGTAACAACCATACCGTGGAAGGGCCCGCATTACGTTTTGAACGGGTTCTGGCTGGGGTGTGAGGGAGGCGGCTGCGGCGGACGATGGAATGGGCGTTCAAACCGTTCTCAACAAGCTTTAAGGGGGAAAGCGGCAGGGGGAGGGGGGAAGAGGGAAGAGAGAAGGAGGGAGAAAGCGGGAGGGGGGGGGGGGGGGGCAAGAGGGAGGGGGACGAGGGAGGGGAGGGAAAGCGGCAGGAGACGAGGGGAGGCGGGGGGGGGGATGGGGGAAGCAGCAAGGAACATTCTGGACAAGCTGGGTGGCCCTATGGCTATCCCCGACGCTCCATCCATCCACCTGCTCTGCCCTGCCCCTTCTGCCAGGAAGTTCAGCACCATGCAGCTTCCTTTCGTTCCTTCCCGCGTCGCCCAAATACGTATGTTGGCACCTCGTGTTGGCGTAGATAGGCGGCCGTTGTCCTTTCATCATATCCAGCATAGTACATCGGTGTGCCTCGCCCTTGACCCTATCCTATGCGTCCTGTTGCCTGCACGTCTCAACGCCCCAATTTCTGCTTCATGTGGGGAAGAGGTGCGCGCGAGACTTCAGACGAGCGGACAAGGTTGGCTTTGGGAAATCAACATTCGAGAACTCGCTCCAGGGCTTTGGTTGAGTTTTTTTTGCCACTGCGTTTCTCTTTTTCTGGAGCGGAAGTGAGGCCAGATAAAGATGTATAGAGAAAGAGAGAGAGAGAGAGACAGAGAGAGAGAGAGAGAGAGATACAGAACGCACGCAACCAGCACTCGCCCCACACCTCCGGAGTCCTTGCGGGGAAGCCACCCCACTACTACAAGTATTAATCATGCTCATCAGACGTAGTTGCTTTTAGATGGATGATAACAAGCGTGGACCCCGAACAGTGCGTTTCTAGCAATATATCTTGCGCAACCTGTGTGCAACAATATGGCAACTTGCCTTGTGACATATCACTCGCGGCCGGACATATTTCACCCGTGCCGCCCTACACAGTACCCTTGGGTTGCCTGATATGGCACCTTAGCTGCGGGGTCAGGCGAGGCACACACGCCCACACACACACACACACGCGCACGCACACACACACAACACACACAACAACCCACAACACCGCGAACACCAACACCACACACCAACACCAACACAAACACAGGTAGGCACACACACGCACACACAGCACACAACACACAACGCAAGGTAACACAACACAACACAACAACGCACATCACAGCACAACACACCACAACACTACACACACGCACACGCGGGCGCGACGCCCCCGTTGGACCCCTCGGCGTTTCGAGTTGGTTTCCGAATTGACCTTGAATTGGTTCCCGACTAAGGTTGTCGAATCGGCCACACGCTGGAGCGGACTGCCTCTGCCTCGCCGCCGACGGATTGTTTCCCGAATCGATCTACGACTTAATTTTCACTTGGTATTTTGGACTTGGCTTTAAAGCCCGGTGTGTGAGAGCTGATGAAATTGTTTCTGCCTATGGTTTGTACAGTTAATGTTAGAATTGGTTTGGAGCTGTTCTGGGATTTAGCAACTTGGTAACACAACGTTGTTTCGCGATGTGAAGCCCTCCTTGTTGGTCGACGTAGCGAACCTTGAGAACTGTGGTGTAAGCCATGTGGTGCAATACGAGCGGTGCCATCTATACGGTGCAAATAATTTCTGTTCGCAGTGAGTTGTCCACTCCACTGCTCGCGCAACCATCCCACCCACCCACCCGCAACTTGGTTTGCAAAATCTCTGAAGACCGTGACGGTGGGTACCACATGGCACTTGGCAACAACAGCGACGCCGACGACGACAGCGACAACGACGATGACGACGCCGCCGACAACGACTACGACGACACCGACGACGTCTCCAACGACTTCGACGACGCCGACAACGACGACGACGACGACACCGACGACGACGACGACGACACCGACGCCGACGACGACGACGATGACAACGACGACGACGATGACGACGCCGACGACGACGATCGACGACGACGACGACGACGACGCCGACGACGACGACGACGACGACGCCGGCGACGACGACGACGACGCCGACGTCGACGACGAAGACGACGACGACGTCGCCAACGAAGACGACGAGGAAGGAGGGAGGACGACGACGGCGACAACGACGACAACGACGAGGGAGGAGGGAGGACGGCGACGACGCGAACGACGAAGAAGGAGGAAGGACGGCGACGCCGACGACGGCAACGACGAGGGAGGAGGGAACGACGACGACAACGACGACGACGACGACGACGGCGACGAAATAGGAGGGACGACGACGAGACGCCGACGACGGACGACGACGACGACGAGGGAGGAGAAAGACGACCACGGCGACAACGACGACGGAAACGACCACGACGCCAAAGAGGACGACGACGACGAACACGAGGAAAGACAGAGGACGACGTAGGCGACCACGACGACGACAACGACGCGGGAGGAGGGAGGACGGCGACGACGACGACGACGCAAGAGCGCGCGCGCACGCTTTTGTTGAAAATCCGTGTTGCGAAACCTTGTGTTTTTGTAGGTTTTTTGGACACACGATTTTGAAATCCTTCCTGAACCGATGGGTTTTGAGGGTTTTCGGCATACGCGCGCGACGACGCGCGCGTCTGCACTTCGTCCCATTTTTTGTAAGGGATTCTCGCGACGGCACACGCGCAAGGGCGTTCGACAGATCTCGACATGAGCGCGCGCGAAGCCCGTTTGGTAGCATTTTGTGGAAATCCTATGGTTTTCTCAAGATTTGGCAAAGAGTTTTCGCGGACGCTTTTTTAGAAACTCTGTGTTCCAAAACCATGTGTTTTCGTATGCTTTTTGGAAACTCGATTGCGAGATCCTTCCCGCACCGAAGGTTTTTGAAGGATTTCGGCATGCGCGCGCGACGACGCGCGCGTGTGCACTTCGTCTCATTTTTTTGCAAGGGATTCGTGAAAAAGTGTTATGTTGGAGCAAAAATGTCACCGCATAGTTTTTTTAAATAAAAAACAAAGGAACCTCAGGGGGGGGAAACTGGCCTAGCTGGGATGCTATGATTTCATACTTAGGGTGGACGAGTGTGCAGAATATGTATATACATATATATATATATATGAAATCATACTATCCCAGGGGGAACCGATAAGTCCGGGGGGGGGGGTAGAGTCTATTCTTTTTTTAGAAAGGAGCATCTATGTGGTGCAACATTTGCGGTGCAATGTATGCGGTGTAGCCTGTGCGAGGCAGCGACGGGGCGGCGACGAGGCGGTGACGGGGCGGCGACGGCGGCAACATAGCGCCAGACCGACCAACAGGCCCAGACGACGGGCAGCGACGAAGCGGCCACGGGGCGGTGACGACGGCAACATAGCCGCCGAACCGACCGTCAGGCCCAATTCCCTACTCGACACACGAGTAAGATCCCCTAAGTGCAAGCTTTGTTTGGGACCAATATATACACAGAAAGAGAGAGAGAGAGAGAGAGAGAGAGAGAGAGAGAGAGAGAGAGAGAGACAGAGACAGAGAGAGAAAGAGAGAGAGAGAAAGAAAGAGAGAGAGAGAGAGAGACAACAACGAGAGAGATACACACACACACACATATATATATATATATATATATATATATTGATAGATAGATAGAACAGAGAGATAACCAAATAAAGGAGAGAGAACACGCGAGGGAAAATGGGAAGGGAAGAGTGGATACGAAGCGTGGTTGCTCAAATCGGCGGTGACCTCCTATCCACTAGTTGCGAGCGGTCAAGCGGCAGATGAGTAAGAGAAGGGAAATAAGGCAACGAGTGGGATGATGAGGCGAGATGATGAGCACACCAGACCTTGTCATGCGTGCGAATGGGGCCCCGAGAACATATCTTCGCTTGGGATCTTCCGCGGTAGGAGTCATGCTCATGGGCTGGCAATACAAGACCTGCGTGCTTCCTGCAACTTTCTGACTGACTCTCGCCTTGGCTCGCCCTCACCCTCCTGCTCCCTTTCCGCTCTCCCCACTCGTCGGTTCTCCCCATGCGTAGCCCTCTCCGTCTCCCTCCTTCTTAATCCCCCCCTGCTACCCCCATCCTCATTTGGCCGCCTTTGCTCGTCTCTGTGTGTCTGTCTCTCCTCCTCTTGCGTTCGACCTTCTCACTAGCGCCATTCCCCGCGCCTAATCCGTCACCGTGCCCCCTGGCACGCTCAGGAGCGCTAGAATGCCAAGTGCTGCCTGATAGGGGCTTCTGTAATCTGTTAAGGCCCACCCCCTTTCCGGGCCGCGTAGAGCCGCGTGCATCGGCCACGCTCCCAAGGGGGTCCCTGGGAGGCCACGGTGCTCAGAGTCACCGAGCGATCGCTCCGGGCGGGCCCCGAGTCACCGAGCGATCGCTCGAAGACGCCCAAGATGGCCTCAAGATGGCCGCAAGAGGCTTCCAAGGGGGGCCTCCAAGAGGTCTCCAGAGAGGGCCCACAAAGGAAGCCATCAGTGATTTCCCATTCGTTTTTGTCGGACTTTGACTTTCTCGCCTTTTCGGCTTTCCGACGCTCCAAGACGGCCCACGATGCCCCCAAGACCACCCCAAAACGACCCAAGAGGCCTCCAAGAGGGCCCCTAAGACGGCCTAAGAGCGCGCCAAGAGGCGCCCAAGACCGAGGGTCCCAAGACGGCCCCAAAAGATGCCCCAGAGACGGAACACGAACCGAACATCCGAGCCTTCCGCCCCAAGGGGCCCCCAGGAGGCCCCAAGAGGCGCCCCAGAGGACCCAAGAGGCCCCCGAGAGGCCCGCGAGAGTCCACCGAGAGGCCACCAAGAGGCCCTCAAACTGCTCCCAGAAAACCGCAAAACTGTCTTCGAGAGGCCCCCGAGAGGCCTCCCACGAGATTCCAACGCACATCCGTTAGGCTTACAACCCACAACCCGGGCACGGTGGCGGGGCTTGCCGTAGGCAGCTTGATTACTATCGCCACTCCTTGCGCCTGTCGCCTCGCTCTTCCGCTGCCACATCCGCCAACTTGAAACTTCCTGGTTGGTCACGGCCTCGGCTCTGGTCGACCATCGTTTCCGCGCGTTTGGGGGATCGTCTGTCGGTCCGTCTGTGCCCGTCGCTGTCTACATGTATTCCCCCTCTCTCTAGCTCCCTGCTCATTCTCCTGTACATGCGTCTATCAAGCTGTCTTATTTGGGGCCTCTCGCTCTCTCTCTCTTTCTCTCTCTCTCTCTCGCTTCCTTTCTCTCTCTCTCTCTCTTCCTCCCTCTCTCTCTCTCTCGTATCACAGAGTAGACTCATACTTTCTCTATGCATTTCCTTCTCTATGCCACTAGCCTTTGTGCCATACCACCTCTTCGCAGTAGATGCTAACTTGGGACGGTGATGCCAGCACGAAGAGGATGCCTGCCCGAAGCCAACATTATACATGTTAAACCAGCGTGGGCCTCACAGAATGCGTTAGGGAGTTAGGGCATCGTGGAAATGAGCATGGCGCGGAATACGCCATGTAGAACTCGCTATAGTGTGCACGCTATGCGGCATAAGCCAGGTGGCGTTGGCCGGGTCTCGTAAGCCAGGTGGCCCGGTGGTGTCAGCTGGGCTGTGCGCACCGTGCGGTGCGAGATCTGCGGCGCAGGCTGTGCGGCGTGGCCCGCGTGGCGGTGCGCTGTGCTGCCCCCCCGGGGCACGTGGGCGCTCACGAGCGCCCGCGGGCGGCGGGTTCCGGGGCGAGCCCTCGGCGGAGACCCGCCGAGGCGAGCCTTCGTCGGCGAAGCCGGCCCACTGCACGGGGGCGCCCACGAAGGCACGCGGGGCGCCACCCGGGCGCACAGCGCGGGAACTCCTCGGCGGGCCCGCCGAACCACCTGAGACACCGAGGGCACGTTCCCCAAGCTGTGTGCGCTCGGTCTGGGGAAGGGGAGCAGCACTGGTGAGTCGGCGAAGCATGCCATGCGGATCGGGGCACGGCACTGTGGGGACTTCCCCCCGCGAGTCCGCCCTCCGTGCACAAGCCTGTGGTCGATGAATTCCTCGAGCTCTCTCGGCGTTTCATAAGCCTCCTTCGTCGTTGTTTCCCCGCTCGCTCGCTCTCTCTCTGTCTCTGTCTCTCTTTCCCCCTCTCTGTCTACATGTACATCTATATATGTATATGTATATAACTGCATGCGTGGCCAATGATGATGTGTATGCAAAGTCAGCTCATATGTATACGTGTGTGTGTATACGTACATGTTTGTGTATGCATAAATCCTTTATGCACGCACAGAGATGTTTTGCATATTATTGGATCTGGCACGTGGGCACGGATGAAGCCATTGCCGCCTGATTTGGTGACATTCCGCATCGACTTGTGCATGGAAATGGGACCCGTTGCAAATCTACGCGCGTTAACCCTTCCTCGAATCTTTCCCATCCGTTTCTAACTTTTGTTTGTTTGTTTCTCTCTCTCTCTCTCTCCCTTTCTCTCGTTCTGTAGCTCTACGGTGCTTCAACAGCTCATGCTTCTCTTGCCATAGTGTGGCGATACACTGAGCATAACCAAGGGCGGTAACCGATCATGTGTGCAAACTCGGTCTGGCAACGGTGAACATGACAACTCGCACTGGTCAACGCGGCCCTGGTGTCAATACATAACAATCTATTCATGCGAGCGGACCGGAAAGGCCATCCGGCCCCAGGTGAGCCAGCCAATGCCTCGTGCGAGGCGGTTCAAGGACAATGTGTCGAGCCAACCTTTCTCACCCTCTCTCGTGAAGGACCACCTTGGCATCGAGCGTGTCGTAGGCGCACTGCTCACCATGTGCCCCTCAACATCCTCGCCCCGCCAAGAACATTATCTGCTGGCCCAGAAGGCCGCTGACAAGTATGACGACCATCACGTCGGACATCTCCCCACGGCGATCGGAACGATTGCTCACGAACCTTCTCCGTGTCCGAAGCTCTCAGTGGGCGATCGGCAGATTTCCCCCCCTCCCCCTTTACGATGGTTCCCTCCCCCTAATCCTACTCCCCCTCATTCCCTCCCTCCTGAACCTCATCTTCCTCTTCCTCCTACTCCTCCTCCTCCCTCCTCCTCCTCCTCCTCCTCCTTCTGGCGCAGCTGCGGGGCTTCCTCTTCTCGCTCTCGGCGCTCGTGGAGGCGCGGACGCCGTGGACGAGCTCGACGACCCCTGGGCCGATGGCGGCCGTCCTGCGCGCCCTGGCGGCGGCGGCGCGGGCACGGCGGCTGCTCGGGAGAGCGCGGGCTCGGCGGGAGCCGCCGAATTGCCTGTCGGGGATCTGCTCCAGACCCGGGTCAGTCAGGCCTGGCAAAGTCTTGCAAGATCCTGCACCCAAACCCGGGTCCATGCGGAGGATCCTGCAACATCCTGCAGGACCCTGCACCTAAGCCCGGGCCCATGCGGACCTGTCCCTGCAGGATCCTGCAAGATCTGGCGCTCTGGCTGACCCCCGTTTGCATTGACACCCGTCTCTTAAGTCGGGGATGGACAGACCCCCCTTTAGTAAAACGTGGTTTAGTGAAAACGACCTGAGGCCCAAACCCGGCGGGCGCGAGCCTGGAAAATGACGGCCACGGCGCCCTCTCGAGAACCGAAAACGGACAATTCACTGATCGACGTGTCACTGTTGGGGGTTCTGCCCACCCCCGTCTCTGCAGCCCGCCGGGGACTCCGCTGCGGGGCTCCTCCTCCGAGCCACGAGGGGGGCGGGGCGGCCAGGGCGCAGGGCAGGGGCCGGAGAGGGCAGGGAGGGATCCCTGACTTCGTATCCGCCGCCCTTCTTGCGCGACCTCGCGAGCAGGGCAGGCCGACCGTCGAGACGGCTGCGGCGGCGGCGGCGGGCAGCGCGGGGGACCCCGCGGCGCTCCGGCAGCGGGCGGGCTCGCTGGCTGCTCGGCCGGGGGCGGCCTCCTCGGCCTCCCCTCCGGGGCGGCACGGGCGCACCCAGGGGGGGGCCGGCTGTGCCCCCCCGCGGAGCAGGGCCTCGTCGACGGCGCGCTCGTGCACGCGGGGGCTCGGGTGCCGAGGCCCCCCTGCGGGTCGTGACGTCACCGAAGGGGCCCTGGGACACACACGAAGAAATGCACACGAATCACAGGATTCCCCGTATTTTCCCACATCTTCTGGGCTCTTGTCTCCCCCCCCACTTCCCATATTTTCCAATCTTTTCTGGGGATCGACGACTAAATGTGTCTGTGTGCTTTTTCCCTCCTGACTCACGCCCGCTCGTCGCGGTGCTGGAGGGCGTCTGGCTGTCGGGGCCCGCCGTGGACGCGCCCGCCAACGCCCACGGTGTCGTGCGGTGGGTGTGCCTGGCCGTCCTCCGCGGCTTCAGGTATGCCCTCCATGCACCGGGCTCTCGCCCTCCGCACGGCCCCCCTTGGGGGTTCGTCGGACCCATCTTGTGTCTGGAGTTGCATTCGTGCCTCGGATGCGCCTCCATGGGCTCGCAACCTCCTCCTCCTCCTCCTCCTCCTCCTCCTCCTCCTCCCGGTATTGGGGATGCAGCGGCCTTTGGGCCAAACGCCCCCTTGACCGTTAGGTGCCTGGGCTCGCCGGCGGCGGCGGCCGAGTTCCCGTGGCGAGCTTTTACTCAGAGCAGCCATGCCCGAGAGCACGGGCGGGCGAGAGGCCCGGAAGGCGAGGAAGAGCGCGCGAGCGGGCGGCGCGCTCGTTGACGACGGCGTCTGTGCTGCGGCGGTGCTCCGAAAGGGAAGCAAGTCGTCTCCTCGATCCTGAGGGCGGAGAGGGAAGGCAGAGGAAACGGAGGGGGGGGGCCAGGAGCAACCCGAGGGCTTCCGAAACCCACGCGGGGTTGCCGCTCAAATTAAGACGTGCGCCAACGCCAAGGGGTGAAAAGGCCCCCCCCGCCGAAGTGCCCCTAACCAGGAGCACATAGGTGCGAGTTGACCCTGGGACCCCACCCAAGAACACGAGGGATGAGAAAACCAGCACCCCCAAAAACAGAAGAAGGCGCAAAGCTTTCGGGGGTGTGGGAGGCCCCCAAGACGCCCCAGGAGGCCCCCAAGAGGCCCCAACGTTGCCACGGCATGATTCATTGGCGTGCCGGTTTACCCCTCTGGCGGGCCCGAATTGATCCCGTCTGCGGGCTCAATCACAGATTGTAGTGGTGCTCCCGCTGGCAGGCCAACTTCTCATGTGATGTGCGCATTGTGCTCCGACGCGCAACTTATGCTGACAATCTTTCGGATGCTCTTCGCTCGGTCTTCTTTCTATTCGAGCAACATGGGCCCTGCCGCTGCACCATGTAATCCGCCACCGTGACGCTGGGCACGGAGTGGGCGTGTCCTCAGGTCCTTTGTCTAATCCCTTGAGCCTCAGTCCTCACTCCTGAGGAGTCTTTAGAGGAGTCTTGAATGGGGCCCGGAGCCCACATTGCCAAATCTCCCAGGGCTTGGTGCGGCTTGTAGTTTGACTTTTTCGGAGTTAAGAGGGTCCCAAGACGGGCCAAGGCTCCATACCCAGAACCTTGTGCCAGCCACGGTGACTGGATGGGCCGAAGGCCATTTGATAACCCTTATGGCACGCATCCTCCCTTTCTTCTGTCAAGCCATTCCACCCACGCTGCCTGAATGCAGCGCCTAGAAGTCGGCCGACAACCCCCCTGCTTTGGATCCAAATTGTGGAACGCGATGCAAATGAGGGTGCCAAACCGACCACCTGCTCGCATGACCATCTCCGGAATGCCCAGACCCGCACCAGACCTTCCCTCCCTCTAAGACCAGCCAGCTCAAGAAGGCCACCCCGTCTAAAGATATGCACTGCAAGATAGGGCCGTCCCGCAAGATGCCAACACCGTCAGCTCCGACAGGCAGACGGCCTTCCCACACGAATAGAAGAAAGCGATGGAGCGAGGGAGGGAGCGAGGGTGGAGTTAAGGGAGAGGGCGGGCGGGTGTGAGCGAGCGCGCGAGTGTGTATGTGCATTCGAAAGGCCGTGAACTTGAAGCGTCCCCTTCACGTCATTGTCGTGCCGCGTTTTTTTCGCCACACGGGCCGTTCTGCTATATTCTGAATTCGGGTTGAAGCCTCGATACGTTTGACGCTCCTGACACACAATTGTCTGGCATCTTCAACGCTGGCAATCTGCTGCCTTCTCGTTCTGCGCTCTTGTTCTTTATCCCCCACTTCCAGCGCGGCAAGCTGTGGCTTTGAACGCCCTGCATCACGCGAGCCGATACTGATTTCAGTGGGCGCTCCCCCGTCCTCAACTTCCGCTTTCTCCCCTCCCCCTCCGAAGTTGTTGCCTCTTCTCCTCCTCCTCCTCCTCCTCCTCCTCCTCCTCCTCCTCCTCCTCCTCCCGTCTCGTGCTCCCGGCGCTGCCACTCCTCGATGGCGCCGCCGAACCTGCCCTGGAACAGACCAGGCACGGCGCGGGCGAACGTCCGCGCTCCGCTCGGAGGGCGTAGGCAGGCAGGCACGAGGGAGGGAGGGAGGTATGAGACAGCAGTTCTTTGGCGCAACCCTCCCTGGGAGAAGCTTTCGGCTCCAGAGTGTCAGCGTCGTCGTCGTCGTCGTCGTCGTCATCGCCGTCGTCGTCCCCCTTCAGGGTCGGCGGCGCCGGCCGTAATGCGTTCACAACTTGACTTGGATCGCATGGCAAAGGCAGACGTCTGCGCTCTGCTGGAAGGGCGTAAGTGAGCATGCATGAGAGAGGGAGGGAAACGCTGGATGGTAGCAATTGGCGCCTCAAGGTAGAAGGGTCTGAGTTGTGGAGGTACGTTGGCACTCCTCCCTACGGCCGTCTTCGTTGGCCGAGGGGCCGTAGGGAGTGCCTCAGCCCCCTCCGGTGCCAGTGACGGCTTCATGGACCAGTGTACTGATGGGAGTAGGGCCCCGGCGCCCCCTATGATGGTAGCTGCCGAGGGGTGCCGCCGATGATGGTCACCACAGGGGGGGCGGAGGCATATAATGGTCCTCGCCAGAGGAGGGGGGGGGGGAGAGGCCGAGGTGCGGGATCGTCTGGCCGTCCGTGAAGCCGAGGCCCGACCGCGGGGCTCCTGACAGAGGGCCAGAACGAGGTGAGAAACTGTGCCGGACCTCCGGGACCAGGGGGAAGGGAGGGGAAAAGCAGCATCGAGCGCACTGAAGTGAGGACAGAAATCCGGGGGCCAACAAATCCCTCATCATGCAGGCCAGGGGGCGGGGGTCAGGATATGTCCGCCCCCGCCCGTGCGCAGCAAAGTGGAACCAACCTGGACCCTCCCAGCGAGAGGTCCCGCTGGGCCGGTCGTCTGGATGGGGCAGTTTGCGCCTGCGCTCCCTGCCCTCGCAGCTCACGGGGTCCCACAGAGGCGGAGCGAGGACGTGCTAACGTTTGGGTGGGAGGAGGCGGATCTTTTGCGCCCAGGAGGTCGCGCAGAAGGCCCGATCGCCCCGTCTCCGTGCGGGGCCTCGGGCGCCTCCCTTGCGCTCCGCCCGCAGGCTGCGCAGACGAGGGAGAGCAGGAGTTCGGCGCAGAGGGGGACGGCGTCCAGGGGCAGCGTGGACGGGAACAGCAGGCGCCGAACACGTGTACCGTGCCCCGACTTCTCGGCGCATGGACTCTGTGATCAACGCCGGCTACCACGCCACGGGATCCCTTCGTCCCCTTCCTCCTCCGCGGCGATCTCCCTGCGGCCCACTGGGCAAGCTTCACGCTCTGCCCAGAGATGAGACACGGTTCACGTGACATCCGCTGATCAGATCGTGCAACCTGGCCTTCCGCTGCCACACTCACCGCCACGGCGAGACACATGTGTGTTGAGCACGCGCGGGTGCGCGCAAGGGTCAAGCGCGAGACAGCACTACAGAACCACACAGGCAGACAGACACGCGGAGTCGTGATTGTGGGCATGCACGTCCGAGATGATCAGAAGAGTAATCAAG